AGTTAATTTTCAATAGGTCACTATTGATAAATACTAAATGTCCAACTGTTGCGATGGTGACCAAAATTATCACCGAATGTCTGAAAACAGCGCATTCCCTAACACAGACTTAAAAATCGAATTCGATGCGGTCCCACTGAACGGTGCTCATTCAAACACCGTGGTGGTGTCCAGTCCAGCAGCAGCAGTAGCAGCAGGAGTGCTTTCAACAACAACAACAACGAAAGGCTGCCTGCAAGCAGCGAGCTGCAGAGCTCATATGAGCAACCATAGAGAAGAAGGAAGAAGTCCCACCGCTAGGCTAGGATAGGAATCAGTAGCTCGTCGTGCTCAGCTCAGCATTACTCAACCATCACTACAAAACGGTCCTTTTCAGGAACACCACAAATTTGTTAAGAGTATTATTTGGACATTTGTCAAGGTCATCAGTTCCCGCAAGCAGCTAGATATCAAGGCTCAACCTGGTATCTATAGAAGGTGTGGAATTGTAGGCCCGAATGTATTGATGAGATTAATCGTCGTCCGACCATTTTCCAGAACACGCTGGTAGGAAGTGTTAAAAATCTATATAAAATTTGAGAGAAGTGGGAATAATTCGCTTTGGGTGTATATTCAGTCCCCAGAAAGCCAATAAAATCAAATTTGTGAGATAATTAGCTCTCAAGAGTTCAATCTCTCGAAGTCCCTCCTTTTTTTACATATTCTGCACAAACGATACTTTCCACCCAGCCCCATTCATATAATTCGGAAGGAAATCCTGTGAGGGGTGAATTGAATACACTTTAATACCAAAATGCACAAAACTTAAAAATTCATAAATAACAAAAAAAATCTAAATACACCTTTAAATCGCGTAGATTAATCGAAAATACTCAAGTTGAGAGTCCCTTGAATTCTCTTCGTCAGCTTTCTCTTTGAAAAAAAATACTACAAATTTGATACGCTTACAAATAAAAAAACTGAAAGAGTTAAGATTATTGATGATTGATCAATTTAAAGAACTAAATGTTCACATTTTTCCGTCCACTAGTGGTCCTACACGCATGCAAAAGATCGTAAGAATTCGATAAGGAACACTTATGAACTTTAACCACAATAAATTAGTATGAATTTCATTGATTTGCCTTATGAAAAATAATGTCGACAAAAAAATAATAAATAAATAATCACTTGTATATCAACGCTTGGGAAAATGAAAGATTAAAGGCGTATAAGAGCTACCTCATGTTACTCGAAAATAATGCATAAGTCACGCTTATAAAATTCTTATGTGTTGTTCATTAGTCGAGCCTTATGAAATTCTTAAGTCTATTTGCCTCAGTGTACGTCAAGCTTCCGTTCGTGCCCCTAGACACAGACCCTTCTACTTTTTTATTTGTGTTCTACATCTAATTAATTTAAATAGTAATCATCGATCACATGACCCACGACCATGAATGCATTGATCTAGTTTAAAAAATAACCGAGTATCCTTTCCTTGAAATTGGAGAGGCAAGGAGTTAACATTGGTCTCATGTAAAAGAACGATGCATAAATTAATCATTCCCACAGGACCTTGAAGGAGCTAGAGTTGCGATCAGGTGTGCTGATAGGTATTCACTTTCAAGCAAGCTTTTATTGATTATTGAGCTGCCCTTATGATGAATTCTAGGATAACTCAGATGACAAGGCAAACAGCTGGTGATCGGAAGGTCCATTGTTCGAATCTCATGTAACGACATGTATATGTATGAAGTTTATTTTCTAATACATGTGTGGTACGAAGAAATAATGTAATCAATCACTACTAAAGAATAACTAACACTCATCCCTATGTACCCTCCTTCCTCCGTCGTCTCTTTTATTTTCCACAGTTGTGAATAATTGTTTAAGAAATGTCTAATTAAACGAAACTTCACATCTGAATCAAGCATATACAGAGCATCACTGTTTAAATTAGGGGAAGCAGTGATGTCTAATAATCGCTGAATAATCAAAAATGTTATCAAATAAGCTCTGTTGCAAATCAAATAACAGCTTCTTGACATACCTTTTACAACACTCAATAGCACTCAATGTGTTGTGGTTGAATAAATTCTCCAGATTTGTGTGAACAAAGCCTGAACAGAAGTTATTATTAAAAATAAAGCAAGTATTATTAAGCATGCAGTTGAATAAAATCGTCAAGAAGTCGTTTCTTCAATCGACGATTGTTTGTTGGGTACTTCTCAAATGACACACGCGAAGTTTTGACAATTTTACAAAGAAAAATATTAACGTAATACAGGCACTCATTTGGTGTAAAAGTATGATTTTCGATATTTCTTTTCCTTTATTTAACGTCGGTCTCTGTTCCGCAATCTAGTGCCAATCACCGACGGACATCGATTGCCATCCATTGACGGTAATCGTATGTGCAGGAAGGCAGCTTCCATACCTGCGTAGAATATCGCACCCATTCATCACACACACATGGGCCAGGAACAACGGCTTTACTTCCCAGACGTGACCAGGGATTTTTATGCCTCAGAAAAATCCCACTGACCTCGGCTGGGATTGAACCCAGACCCCTTGGGGTGAGAAAGTAGTCACGCTTACCACTACACCTCCGGCGACGGCTAGATTTTGTTTTTTAATCATTAGATGTTATAATGATATTTTGTACTAGTTAGATACAAGAAGAGGTTGAAAGGAAAGTGTTTGGCACATAAAACCTGTCAAATTTGCTATCAAATAGTCATAATCAGCGATTTCACGACTCGCGAGCACTCACGAATCATAAAATCGCTGATTGTGACACTATGAAAGCAAAATGGACAGGTTTCATGTGTCAAACACATACTTTACAACCTCTTCTTTCAACTTACAAGTACAAAACATCATAATAAACATCGATTGATTTTATAATTCCGAAAAACTTTCTCTTAGCAAGTGAGTGGAAGCAACCCTGAATCATCATCGAAAAAAAAAATAGCCTTCATATTGCTACAAAATAAATTGTCGGTTGGTAGATTGTCGTTATTAAGAAGATTTTCAGGCAGACGCTGGTTCATCTTAGACAAAATAAATAAGTTTTTGATTGATTTTCGTCATTCTCATCCAATATCGTGCCATTTCGCAGAATTTAATAAATTTCACAGCCAGAGCCAAATTTCTCGATATTCGTGGCTTCCGTGAAATCGCGAATTTCTACTGTTTCTACTTATTAGCGTAACATTTTCCCCATTTATCTGACAAATGCATTGATTGCGTCGCGCTGCTCGGGGCCAAATGGTCCACTCTATTTTATTAAATGAATCACAATCTCATAAAATAAAACCCGAGTACCATTGATAATGCAATATTTTTCCCCTTGCTATCATCTCAATCAAAAGCAGTTATCAAAATGAGAACGAGAGCGTTATAATACCGCACATACTGAACGCTGAACCGCGAGAATACAAAAAGTGCATCCAACGGTTTTTAATGGGAATATTGTTCCTCCCCGTCCTCTCAGAAATGGAGTCGAAAAAAAACTCCCATTGTCCTGCCGCCATCATCGGGCGATATGCGTTTGTGTTTCTGTTCGATTGTTCGACTTGAGTAGATATAATTCTAGCATTCAGAATCATAAGGGCCCAACTGCGATGATCGACTTGCTTCGTCCGTGTTCTCTGCGAATTGCAACCCCAATTTCCCGACATTTTTCCAACTTTCAAGCAACTTCAAATGCACTCGGCTAATCTAGCCGAGTTGCATTGGGGGGGTGGAGGAGAAACGATCATCGCAGTTAGGCCCTTTTGATTCGGAACGCTAGAAGTATACTACCCCGCCATCAGTGAAACGAGCTGGTAAGCGATAAATAAAGTCACATTCAGTTTGTGTCATTTGTCTCCCAAACGCCTCTCCCACCATCACACCGCCGGATCGGAGCGCCATTAAGGGGTTGACTGGTTGGGAGGGTATTTAAATCTACTTCCACTCGTTGCGTTATTTATGCACGAATCAAGAATTATGAATATTAATAAAAACTGGCTGGCGAGCATTGTCTCCGCCGCAACAACTCTTCTCGCAGTCGCAGTGCTTCTTCCGCTCCGCCAGCTGATGGAAGTTTATTGATGTTTTTTGCATTTTTCATTATTTTGATGACTATTTGCCGAGTAGTTTGCATTAATAGTTCGTGTCGTGTTTCCACTCCAGTGGTAATTTTGTGCATTTCAATTAGCTTTGCCAAGTGGATTACACGTGTTCGGCACTGTGGTTCCTTAGCTAATCAGCATAATTGTATGGTGTCAAAATGCTGTGATACCGTGTTATTTGCCAACCAATGCTTTCAGCTTCAATTACTCATTTGACCTTTTTCGGCCAAAATTCAGCACCACCAATCAACTCTACAATATCCTGATTGCATCCATGAACCATCCGCACTCTCACACAGAAATGCCAATATTAGCATCATCCTAACGCCCACAAAAACTTTTCCCGACACAGCGAGCACCATTTCGAGCACCCCTCATGTGTTAATACTCGCTCATTCCGTTTGATGGCTGCTGGTACTGACCTTCATGAATATTCAACAACCCAGAAAGCTCAAATCCGAGCAATACTCGTGGGCATTTTACCGCGAGCAACATTCATATATTCTTGCATGTGGGAAAACGGTACTCAATACGAATCGATTTGCTCGACCAAACATCCGCGCCGCCATTCAGTGTAGAGTCCTATGTAATTTCACATTCTGTACCACACCAAGCCAAGGGTGGTGGCGAGAAGTGACTTGTCTGAATAAATTCAGTGAAAATCGATCAATTAGGGTCCGATAATTTGAGGTGTGCTTGTGTAAACGGAATGAACGACTAAATTCGAAGGTTCGATGCTTGCCGAGCCGTCCGATGGAAATTGCTGGTCAACTAGCCAGCTCGAATCGAATGCTAATAAGGACATGCACCTTTACGTGGCGTCCGATGTCCATGGGTAAATAGGCGAAAGTTGAGCTCACCGGATGGAATTGATTATGAATGCGCAACAAAGTTGGAGCTTACCTTAATTTTAATCAGAGAAATGGCGATGAGCTGGTTTTGTGTTCTGAAAAGGGAAGAAAGGGTAATCGTGGTATAAGTTGCAAAAACATGTTTAATTTGTGTCTAAATATGAATGTCATTATTGCTTGTTATTGGATTTTTCTTTCACCGAAATGTACCGAATGGCTTTATCATCACTTGAAAAACATATGCTCGATCAAAAGCAAAGTACAGCGGCGCCGGTGGTGTAGTGGTTAGCGTGATTATCTCGCACCCCAGCCAGGCCTGGGTTCAATCCCAGTCGGCGCTGCAGGGATTTTCTGAGGCATAACATCTCTGATCACGCCTTCATTCAGAAGGAAAGTAAAGACGTTGATCTCCGGTTCATAAGTTGGATGGGTCGCGAGGTAGGGTCCAGGTGTAGGAGCAACCTCCCTGACGTGGGTAGCATTGATGCTCAGCACGGAAAACAAGATCGACAAAAAACAAATCAAGGAAAAAAAGCCCTAGTACACAGATCGAAGCGAAGAGAAATTTAAAGCAAGTGAAAAAAAAAGTTTTGAACCAGTTCTCACAGTTCACATTTTGCTTGAAGTGAAATCTATAAGTTTACGACTTCGCGTGTAGTGAAAATCGATCCAAACTGACAGATACGCTCTTTCTCGGTACGTCAACTACGTTCAGCTACTGTGCTTTTCACGAGCATGTGCTTGCGAGAATAAAGTAAACGCGAAGGCCTGTTAGAGATCGAAGCAAAGTGAAAATCTTACACAAAATACTTGATTTTCCACCAGAGTGAAAAACGCGATTTGGAAATATTCCACATTCACTAGGAAAGTGAATTAGTGAAAGTGAATTAGTGAAAATGAATTAGTGAAAGTGAAACTGATACAAAAGAAGTAGAATTAAAAGGAAAAATCGTTGGAAAAGGTAAACCATTTCAAATATCAATTTAGAAAAAATCATAACTTTTGAACCACTGGGACGATTTCAAAGATCAAAATATCAAATAAGAGGTAAGTCAGTCCGCATCGTGTTCTCTTGCCGTGCGGATCTATTTGCTTTTTTGCTGAAGGAAGTGTTACTACTACCTAAAGCTACAACAATTTTAAACAGCACTTTTCAGTGCTTAACCTGTAAAATTTCTACCTTGTTCAACTTTATTCCTCTTCGATCCTTGTTTGGACCCTACCCGAGGTAATCCTTCTTGGATATCGATTTGGAAAATTCCTCTTCGATCCTTCAGATTCTTATAGTAATCTGCTTGGAAGTCGATTTGGATAGAAATTTACTGCCGCCATGGCACCTAAACGTAAAAGAAAGGGGCAAACTCTTGACCACCCTTCTGATGAAATTAATTTGAGTAATCAATTTGATTTCCTCACGGATGATGAGAATGATCCATCATCCAAGAAAGAAAAATAGTAAACTTTCCCGGCTTAATGCCAAGAAGGAAAAGATTCCCCCTATTGTGATAACCACTTCCGATTTCCATGCTCTTCGCATGGAACTTTTGAACTTCGTGAAAGTTAAGTTTTCTCTACAAATTGGACGTCGGGGTGAATGCCGTGTATTGGCTGAAACCTTGGACGGATTTAAATGTCTTCTCAAGTATCTTACTGAGAAGAAGCACAAATTTTTTACTTACGACACCAAAACTGAACGTGTGTTCAAGGTTGTCATGAAAGGACTGCCCAGTGGTGAATCCCTAGATCAGATCAAAGATGAACTGGCAAAATTACTTGGAGTTGTACCACTCCAAGTAATCAAAATGAAAATGAAATCCCGTCCTGGCGACTCGCGCAACGGGATTTCTAATGATTTTTATTTAGTTCACTTCAAGTCTAGTGAACTAAACAACCTTAAGGCCTTAGAAAAAGCTAGCCTTATGCTACATGTCCGAGTGAAGTGGGAACACTTCAGGAAGACTGGAGGAAATTTCCAAAACCTCACCCAGTGCCGTTAGTGCCAGGGATGGGGTCACGGAACTAAAAATTGCTACATGCCAGCTAAATGCATGAATTGTGGTGATTCCTCTCACGCAAAGGACGACTGTCCTGTGAAGGAAGATCCTCAGAAATTTAAATGTTCAAATTGTGGTGAAAACCACAAATCCAATTTTGGGAATGTAAGACTCGCAAAGCGATCCTACAATCTCGTTCTAACCGACAGGTAAGAAACGCTCCACGTTTCCGTCCAGGTACAAATTCCTCTGCTGTTAACAACGGTCAGCGAGGAACAAATTCTACATTCGTACCCGTAGGTACAAATATCACCCCTGCTTCAAATTTTTCATCTGTACCTACTCCCCTCGCTGCTAACAATGTTCAGCGAGTTAATGGAGCTACCTATGCTGCTATTGCAGCGGGTAGAAATCAAAATACTAACCAAAGTAATTCTAACGGAAATTTTGACAATTTTGACTTAGGAAGCATTACTGCCCCTAAAATGGAATTTTTACAGAAATCATTAATTGACATGATTTCTGATATGCTTAAATCTAACTCCATGTTTGATGCTATTCAAACTGGAGTAAAATTTGCAAATAATATTGTCATGACTTTAAAATTCAGTAATGGATTTTAAAGCATTAAATATTGTAAATTGGAATGCTCGATCTCTTAACGATAATGAAGACGAGCTATTTAACTTTTTGAGAGTTCATAACGTGCATATTGCCGTTATAACTGAAACGTTCCTTAAACCTGACCATAAGGTTAAGAAGGACGCAAATTACTTGATTTATAGAAATGATCGTCTTGATGGACCCTGTTGTGGCGTTGCCATCATTATTCATAGACGAATCAAACATAAAATTCTTTCTTCATTTGAAACCAAAGTTTTTGAAACTTTGGGAGTTTCTGTTGAAACAAAATTTGGACAACTTACGTTTATAGCTGCATATTTGCCATTCCAATGCGTAGGCCAGAAAAAGAATTTTCTCAAGGGTGACCTCCAGAAACTTACCCGTCATAGGTCTAAATTCTTCATTATTGGTGATTTTAATTCAAAACACCGCTCATGGAATAATGCTCAAAGCAATTCCAATGGTAATATTCTGTTTGATGATTGTTCTGCAGGTTATTACACTATTCAATATCCGAACAGCCCAACATGCTTTTCTTCTGCAAGAAATCCCTACACTATTGATTTGGTCTTAACTGATTCATGTCAACTTTGTAGCCAACTGGTTACCCATGCTCACTTTGGTTCTGATCACCTTCCAGTAACTTTTGAAATATCCCAACAATTTCTAATCCCAACAGCTCTACTTTCAATTACCATAGAGTTGATTGGGAGCAGTATCGAACATTTATGGAATATAACTTCGATCCAAACATTCCTTTGCAAACCAAAGATGAAATTAATTATGCTCTTGAATCTCTGACTACTTCTATAGTTGCAGCAAGAGCTGCCTCAGTACCAAAATGCGAGGTTAAATTCGATTCAATTATAATAGACGACGATCTTCAGCTCTTGATCCGTCTTAAAAATGTCCGTAGGAGACAATATCAAAGAACACGCGATCCTGCCATGGAGGTTATCTGGCGGGATTTGCAAAAAACAAATTAAAAAGCGATTCTCTGCCCTGAGGAACAAATAATATTTCTAAATTAGAACCCTCCCAAAAATTTTGAAAAAACCTCAAAAGCTTATTCCAGCGCTTAAAGAAGGTGGTAAAATTTTGATCACAAATTTGGAAAAAGCTCAGAAACTTGCTAAGCAATTCGAGAGTTCCCATAATTTCAGTTTGGGTGATTTGCCTCAGGGTTGCCACAAATCTTTGTTCGCTGATGACACAGGCATTTCCGCTAAAGGAAGAAGTCTTCGTGTTATTTGCAGCAGACTGCAGAAAAGTTTAGATACTTTCTCTTCTTATTTACAAACATGGAAGATTTCTCCCAACGCTTCCAAAACTCAACTTATAATATTTCCACATAAGCCTAGAGCTTCCTTTTTGAAACCTAGTAGTAGTCACATAGTCACTATGAACGGAGTTCCAATTTCCTGGTCAAACCAAGTGAAATATCTTGTATTAATACTTGACCAAAAATTAACTTTTAAAGATCACATTGAGGGTATTCAAGCCAAATGTAACAAATATATTAAATGTTTGTATCCTCTTATAAACAGGAAATCCAAACTTTGTCTGACGAATAAACTTCTAATATTTAAACAAGTTTTTAGACCGGCCATGCTTTACGCTGTGCCAATATGGTCTTGTTGTTGCACTACCAGGAAAAAAGCACTTCAAAGGATTCAGAACAAAGTTCTGAAAATGATTTTGAAGTTGCCTCCCTGGTACAGTACTACCGAGGTACATAGAATTTCGAATGTTGAGACTTTAGAACAAATGTCCAACAAAATAATGAATAATTTCAGGCAAAAATCGTTGCAATCCTCAATTGCAACGATTAATTCCCTTTATACTTAGATAAGATTTAGTTTTAGTTTTTAGTTTTAAAATATCAATTGTTATACTGACATGCAAGTTAAAAAACCTGTTTAAAATACTTAATTGCCAAGACATGAACTATGTAAAAACACTTAGATATATATCATAACAAGTTTTATTAAAAAAAAATAAAAAAAAATCAAAGATAGTTTTTTTTTTTTGTTATTTGAATTTTGAGGTTTATTTTTAATTTTTTTGTTAAAACGAAAAAAAAAGATTCCGTGTAGTTTCTTACAACTCCTTCTTAGTAAATTTTTTTCTACAACCAACTGTTTTAGAACTACATTTTTTAAAGTATGTTTGCAAAAACACATAGGTCCTTTTCAAAAATAACCCTTGAGTCAAAAGGGTCTCCTCTCCTGCGGAAAATACTTGTTCTATCATACTGAAAATATGTGCCAAGTATCATCCAGATCGAAGATAAGCAAGTTTGGTGACTGACCGATTTGACGTGGAATTGGTCTTTACGGGTTTCAGGTGTCATCTCGGTACCGGAAATACCCATATTTAAGGGTATTTAGCAGTTTTTCCCACTTTTTTTGGAATCAGCAACCGTCATCTTTGATTTCAAAATGGCGCTGAACATCAATTTTCGGTCTCTAGACGTC